GAAGGTCATCGCTAGTAGGTTGGAGGTCATCGCTAGTAGGGTGGGGGCCATCGCTAGTAGGTTGGAGGCCATCGCTAGTAGGTTGGAGATCACAAATGGTCCACGGGTATCTCCGTCCGCACGACAGCCCCTTCTTGCAGGGCGGCGCCTCCGTCTGCCCATCCACGGGTCCTGCCGACGAGTTTGACCGTGAGAAATTGGATTCATGATGATCGTGGGCCTGATAGTACAGGTACGGTGAGATGTTCCTGTGATACATATGTACAGTATGTAGTACATATTATATATATATATGCTGTTTTAGTATAAATATATAAGCGTTTATAATCTTGTATATCAGTATGAAGCTTCGTTTCTTGGATGTTTATACATGACATGGTCCAATCTCTTGACCTATACCGAACTGGTCCAGGTCATCATCTTGGGCTGGCGCACTGACTCGAGCACCGAACCAAGGCCGAGGGATTCCGCTCATTGTGGTTCGCTCCTGGGGCCATCATCTTCGCAGCCTGGCAGCTGGAGCACAAACCCATGGTGCAAATGGGTCAGTAATGGTCAGTTGGCATGTCTGATATTGTGAAGTTCCAGTGTCGATCGGTGAGAAACATGTTGTTGGAGCGAGTTTCATTGTTGGTAGCCTACAGCCGCAGCAATGACAGATCCAACTTATAGTTGTATTAGAACAAACAACTGTTTATAGTACGACAGTGGGTCAACCAAGAAGTGAGGATCTGGCAACTTTTCATGGGTTCCTGTTCACCCAAACGACAGTCTCCATGATGAATCCCGCCCCCTGAACATTCGACAGCACCAATGGTCATTGCTGAAAAGTGTTCTTTTTGAACAGAATGATGGAAACCATCCATGGAGGTGCTTCCCCTGGAAAAGTGCTCGGAAACCACGCACCACCCCTGGAGGGCCGAGCACCACTCACCACCAAGCAACTAAGTTGCCCTGAAAGGTTCCAGTGTGGTCCGCTGCCCACTCCGAGAGCCTGCACCAAGCTGCCAGACCTGGACATGAGAGCTCATGGCTCCGCTTCGAGAGGCGACTCTGCTAAGATTGCCGGTCGATTCGCCGGAAACTCCAAACTCCTACAAACCTAATGGCGATGGCCTCCAACCTACTAGCGATCCCGTGACTCCCGTGAAACACCCCGACGACTGTTGATGATCCAAGCCTCTTGGGCCACAAAACACAGGGTGATCCCAAAAGCAAAAAAATAAAGTATCGTACAACTATTGGTAGGTAATTATAGAATATATAAATTAATTCATGTATATCTGATTTAAAACAAAATAAAGCAACACAAACACCTGGGACTCCCCGCGACGGCGGCTTGAGAAGCTCTGGAACCTTGCATGTCTGGTGAGTCACTCAAGAAAAAGATTCTGCGGCCGGGCCACAAAAAACCTCTGCTACACACTGCTACGGTTCAAATCGAGACATTTCAGGGTGATCATCTGTCATAGAAAAACCCTCTAGTGACAGGGCACTCTTCCACCACTTTCGCTCCGCTCCCGCCTGGCGGCCCTTCTGCAACTCTTGGAAGACCTAAGAAGTGGCCGAAGGCGGCCGAAGGGAGGGAGAGGAAAAGAATGGAAAAGACCAGACACGTCTAAGAACTGAATACTTGGGATGGTGGAATACTCGGAATGCTCAGAATAATAATGGAGACACGCTCGAAATAGTAAAGCAACATTATCTGCCACATTCCGAGACAAAGTTATAAGAACTTCTCGACGGCCCCACTCGTAGAAGCGAAGCTCCGTCTCTCTGAGAATTGGAAGTTGAATTTCCGAGTAGAAGACTTCACGAACCCATGTGATGCACTTCATTCTTGGGGAGACAAGACGACAAGACATGCAGCTCACCTTGAAAAGTGTGCTCTGAACGTAGTCAGACTTTCACGTTAAGCTTAATTACCATTGTACAATGGAAGCTGGGCAAAAAAACACGATCAAGAAGGCAATGGCCGGCCGCAAGGATCTCACTCTGCGCCAATCGGGGGCGACAGCCTAACGTCTAAGCAGTCAAAACGGGGTAAGTTTGACCTGTCCGGGCAGCGAAAGACCTTGACATGAAGGCACGACATCAAAAAGTACGGCTCGTGCCTCCGCGATATGCAACACTCTGTCTGGAGAAATGGTGACTAAAACTGTCGATATAATAGGTAGTCTTCTCCGGATTTCTTCCGACATCCTTCCATCTTTTATGGATGTCTTTGGGATGGGAAACACATCAAGGTCCTTCAAGAACCCCGGATCTCGCAGACCCCGCGCTGCTTGGGCGCATGGGCTGCTTTCAGATCCACCTGCTTGCCATCGCGGAAGACGAGAGGTCGGTACCTCGACGCGATTCGAATCCCTTCGTCCTCCGGGCATGGCGATCGCTACAGCGATCGGTCCGGTAGCGAGCAAAGGGCATAGCGGCATAAGCTATTATAACTATAGGAACAAGGTTCGCTATTAGGAACAAGTGCATCGCTTCTAGTAACAAGTGCCTTACTAGTAGTAACAAGAAGCTACTAGGAGCAATGTTCGCTACTACCAGAGGAACAAAGGAGTTGTTTCATGTTTTCTCAAGCAGAATCCGATTTCAGATCCCAACAGACATACGAGTACGGACAAAAATGCATGGACAAATCACGACAAAGCCTGGTACCTATCCTGACAGTTGTGCTCTCCTCGTCCGTTGACGTGTCTAAGTCACCAGCCAAGGACAAACAAGTCACTCAAATGGGTGCCGGCCCAACTCCCCATACACCATCGAGAAATGCCTCCCCAAAGTAATATCAAACACCACACTGCAGCACGTAATGGCCTCCAATATCTGTTCTGCCCCTCTCCAACATGATCAAAATCCTGGTAACGTCATCCCAAAGGAATCAACCCTCCAACCTATTTCCATCACTTTCCCCCCATCCACCCGAATCCACCCCTCATTTCAACCACAACGGTCACTGCACATTCTGCGCCGTGGCAACGGCCCGGTGGCCGAAATGGCAGACCTGCGGAGCGCTCGTCGCGGAGCTGGATGACCTTGATTTCTTAGTATGGAGCAGCTGGAAGGTCTTAGTATGGCTCCTAGTAGCAAACATTGCTCCTATAGTAGTAAGGTCAGGAGCCCCTAGTAGCTTCTTGCTCCTAGTAGCGATGCCAGGAGCCCCTAGTAGCGTCCTTGCTCCTAGTACATACATGTACACGCATGTACATACCGTACATACCCTTCTCAACCATGATCATGAGACAAGGGGATCCACCGCCATAGTTGCCAAGTAGACTGGTAAACTGCCTTTGATCCACTAGATTCTCGGTGGATAGACCGAACGTCGACATCCAGAAAACAATGTTTAAACCCATGGACTAAGCAAAGTCTTCTTCCCGTCTGAAAGGTCAATCCTGCATCAACCAATAAAGCTGCCTCACTGGTATTTGACTGTGCTTGCAAAAGTCCTGCCAAAACACATCTTTGACTTTCTCTTGCCGCTGATGGCAGCGGACATGAGGGTTTGTCCGGAGCCCAGGTCATGCGAAAGCATGCCACTTGGAATCCTTCATTTCTCAGTCCATGAATCAAGGCTGCGTAAGTCATGGTGAGCCTCTTTATATCAATGAGTCAATGAGACTCATCCGAGTGCTCCTTTCGAAAAAGAGGTTTGAAGCATGAGACTCAACCTCCATCTCCGAAGGCTCTTGCTCCTTTCTCGCTTGGACAAAACATCGCCCGGTTGGTCATGAGGCCACGTGAGGCCAGGTGAGGTCGGACACCACCGGGGGGGGATGACATCGTAGGACGCCCGGTCTGCTCAGCCGCCCGACGTTGTTCTCCAAGCCCTGGACATGACCAGGGGAAACTGCTCCTGCAGAGATCAAGATCTCTTCTGGGCGAGGCACCTGTTACTACTAGCTTCTTGTTACTACCAGTAAGGCACTTGTTACTACTAGCGTGGCACCTGTTACTACTAGCTTCTTGTTACTACCAGCTTCAAGCAACTGCAAAATGCTGGGTGGCTATCCCCTGGACCAATAAGCCTATTCTAATACACACCCATGCATGCTGCTCGATATCGTAAAGTTGGTCCAAGATGTTAGGGTCCCCTTCTCCCTATCTTGAAGTGCAAATTTGGGAGGGTACTTGGAAGCTCCATTGATTGATTGCTGGAAACCTAAACAACGGGGAAAAAAAACATGTGCATGGATGTTTCCCCAAACAGCCACTTCCTATGTGAAGGATCTCACTTGCCATAATTGTAACAAACGTTTGTTTCTGGTTGTTTAGGTTTCCAGGTCCTTCCACGGCTTCAGATCCTGGTGATTCACAAGTCTTCCTGCACTACTTTAAGAGTACGCCTGACACTATGCAGGATAACTTCTCCCTACTCTCCCTCTATAGACTCTATAGTAGCACCCGCGCAAAAAGGACCACCTGGAAAATGATCCTCCTATGCTCTTACAACGTCTGGTCAAACCAACCAAGCATGGTAAGAAAGCTGGTGTTAATAAAACAAAACCAGTGGTCTTATCATCCAAATGGATAGAAATCTTCTGTCCATGTACTCTTGTCTTCTCAAGCAGGCGATGCTTCCTTACTTTCCCTTCAAGCCTTCTCTCACTGCCCAGGGCCAATCTGAGCGGACATCCCAAACAAAACACTGCTCAGGCAAGAGTGGTAGTGCTGGTAATGGAATGGTGGTGGTGGTGGTGGAGTTTAGGTCCATCAGGAGCCTCTGCGGCGCAGCTTCATGGCCCCTCACGCATTCGGGCTTCGTCTGCCACCCTCGCCAACGGACGTCATCGGTCCTATCTTTCCACTGGCATGGAATTCAAACCTCACACCCCCCAAAGCGGATGGACTGGGACCGGGAACTGTAGATCACTTGGCGAACCCAAGTTTAGCAGTGTGCACCTTCGTGGGGGAGCCGTCTTTTTTTCAACTGGGCTGAAGGCATCGAAGGATGCTCAAGGTCATGGTTTGAGCTAGTATAGACCAAGAAACACATGTCCATTCATAAAGCACTCATCATTTGCCTGGCAGTCCCGTTGTGCCTTCCAAAGTCGTCCTTAACCCATCCAAACGAGGACCACGCCGATAGTTGGAGAACATGAGGAAGAAGTCTCTCGCATCTCGCCTGGCAGCTCGCGAGCCGATCCCGATTTAGACGGACCGAACACATCGACGGATCGTCGGCTTCGCCAGTCGGCTTCGCCAGACCTTTGGTGACTATAAGCCATACGACGTTAGGGTGCTGCACCATACATTACATATAGGTGTGGCTTGATGTATACTTATGTTAAATGACCTTTTTTCTATTGGTGGCCGCTGACATTGGCCATCGACAAGATCAATTTGATCGATTAACTAGTATACAGTATACACCTCTGTGCTCAGCCTCATGTTGCCCACCCATTCCCTTTAAAGGCCCATCATCCAAAGTATGATCAGGGTCCACACCCATGTGAAGTGGTATTGCCATGTCATCTTCCCTCTAAGGCGATTTGATCATGACATCCCATGTCTCGTCCCTCCCCACCTCCCGGACGGACCCCCCTTCTTGGCCCCCCCACGTCGTGACCAGGTTAATAAACGCATATCCGACCTCGGACGGGCGGTTTTTTCGGTCCACCAGAGAGTGGGATGATGTATGAGGGGCCTAATCAATGCTGCAAAATGAGGTTGAAACACAGCGAGCTGACATGGAGATGAAGGAACTGACAGTACATGAACATATACAGAACCTGTCACATGGACTATATTATACAATATTATATTATAACTTACATAACCCGGTTGTTTTGCCTGTTTCGCGTCACCTTGAGCTGCACTGAGCCCAGCACATTGGTCCGGTTGTGGACATCCTGGTACCAGGTCACTCGGATTGACGGGACAGTGTGGGCATTGCGCCGGCATGGCGCCGGCGCCGGCATTGCGTCCCCCAAGTCAAGGGGGTTGGGAGAAATCGGGGCAGCGCGAGAGGCATTTGTTAAGGACACCTCGACAAACACATGAAACAACCATGCAAACATGAATAAACATAATTGAACAGCTTTCTTCATCTTTCTTCGCGATTCTTCGCTGCCAAGCATCCATTGGCATGTAAAAGAAGTCGTACTTGCCCTGAAAACCCTTGAAATCGATCTCCTGAAGCCGGTCCGGAGCTCGATCCACCGAGTGATTTGTTCGGTGTCGCATCCGCAGAACCCGGGCGGGCAAAAGACGTCGGACACAAAGAGGGGGACGTCTCTTTGGGAACGTCAAAGCAAGAAGCAAAGGCAAAGAATGTGCACTCAAAGCAGTGATTCATTGCATGTTTGATATTTCCCAGAAGCCCATGCCATTCCCGGATCTGTCACATCTTTTGTTTGCCGCAGAGTTTCTGGAGTCTTGTAACTGTACTGTAACTCTTGGAAATCTCTTCCACCCAGAATGCAGCCGGAGTGGTACTCCTTGAGCAAGCTCGACTGCGAGTACTTGTTTGGAATGTGCCTGGCACTTCGACTCCCTCGACGAAGCACTCGCTTCACCATGCGAGGACCATGCGACTCGGTGGGACCGATCACTCAGCTGGATTTCTTTGTTTGAGAACCTCTGAGAGTTCCAAGATGCCACAAAATACAAACAGAATACTAGCAACGATTTGTGGGCTTCTTTGATGGTTTTGTGGGGGAAACAACTTTGAACTTGCACCACAGGGCTGAATTCCACTGAAATCGTCCCATCTTGTCCAGCTACAAGTATGAGGCATATCGATCTAAACAACAAGGCATCGAGTTGTTTTGCCTGGAGGCCTAATGTTCGACAAAATCATTGTCTCCCAATTGATATATAGTGCATCCCGACATGATTTCTTTCATGAACCGTGCAATTGATCCACAGAATGTCGAACTTGTCGCACCAAGGTCTGCATAGCATCCTGCCTTGGAACTCCAAAGATGCCAGCATGGTAGGATCATGTAGGATCACGTGGTTTCTGGCCCTTCTTTCCGCGCACTCTTTGAAGAGCGCCTTCTTCACCGCTTGGGAGGCCCCAGCCACATCGTGTTCAACGCTCGGGAGGCCTTCATCGTGCCCGCGCCCAACCCGGCCCGAGTCGTGTTGCCCTGTGGACCCTACCGTAGCATCAGCGTCGTAATCGGCTCATCAGCATCCTCGGCTGCCCCCACGTCGTCGGATGCCGGACAGAGTGCTGGGAAAGGTGAAATAAGTTCTTCCGTTTGATTCGTTTGCTTTAAAAATCCGGAAACAAGCACAGAAACAAGTAACAAGAAGCTACCAAGTACTAGGGCATTACTACTAGTAGCAAGGACGCTACTAGTCGCACTACGAGTAGTAGCTAGTTTCACATGGTTTCAGTTCTTGCCGGCCCTGTTGCTTTGGCTTGCTGAACCCAGATTATTTTGGCATACCAGGGCCCTGAGCTCTTGCAAAACCGCCTCCCCACCTCAGCTCCCAGCCGTGTGAAGAAAAGCACTTTCCAGATCCACCTGCACCAGCTCGGGCTCAAAGCTCCACCAGTCAAACTTCGCATCTCACTCCAAGGAGTGAAGAATCTGTTGGACTCTCCAAGCAAACTAGTAGCAACAAGAAGCTATTAGGAACAAGTGCATCGCTAGTAGTAACAGGTGCCTTACTAGTAGTAACAAGAAGCTATTAGGAACAAGTCGATTCATGAATTTCGATGTCACATTGCTCCTCGTGCCCTTTCTTGAGTCCACTGGAGAGGCCAAGAAATTGGGTCCCTGCTTGAGACAACTACATTCTCCGCGCTAGGCCAACGTGTGAAAATTCAGTTTCCAAAACAAAGAGGAAAAGCACTGAAACCGCTCAAATGGTTTGAACCTCCAGCTTAGCTGAGTTGTACCATGTTGTTTCACCCGCAAAATCCCCAGCACAACACCTCAGCACAAAATGACCCAAAACCCGCCTCCTTTGGAACGTTGGTCGAGTGGTATGGCCGGAAACTCTTGCCATCACCACCACCTCCAATGCGCGGATCCGATGACACCCACTCGCGATCCACGGCAGAAACACTTTGGAGGGATATAAATTGAGTGAAACAGTTTTTTTGGGGGGTCTTTAATTTGTCCTCGCTTCTGCTTTGTGGCGTTAGATTCTTTGTGGCTTCTGTGGCTTTTGGTCTTGTCTTTTGTGCTGGCTTCTGTGGCTTTTGACTCTTGGATTTTGGCTTTTGCTGGCTTGTGTGGCTTTAGTAAGGGCTTTCGGCTGACGTCTGGTTGCAATGCTTCGCTGCTTCTCTCAGATGTTGTTAGTTGGCTTTCTGCGGAATCTTTTAGCTGCTGTTGGCTGCTGGCCTGCGGTAGCTTCTCCTGTCTTTTGTTGACTGCTGCTGACTGGCTTCCAGTGGCTCCTTAAAACGGTTATTTGTGTGTTCATGGGGAGGCGCGGCGCCAGCTCCCCCTCCCGCTACCAAATCTGCAACCTCTCCCGATGTCCTGCCTTCCACGAAATCTGATTTTAAAGAATGACTCCCCTGCGTCACTAAGTCACTAATTAATTTTCTTTCTTTTGTTTTTTCACCCGGGCCTCCAAAAACCACACATCACAGCAATCTTTCGGCTTCATCCCCCCCCAAAAAAAAGAGGATATATCCCGCCCCGCCAAAACCTTGAGGCTGCAAAAAGACCCGATCGATCATGGAAAATTGGGCGCCATTGTGTCTCCAATTCTGAATGACTTTTAATGGATCGTTGGACCCAGGTTCGTTGGACTCCACAGGTGCGGCTTGGAAATTCCCTTTGAACATGCACCACAGTGCGGCTTCAAATCCCGATACACCACGTCGTCGCACTGCGGAGCACACGGGGCGGCGCCGCGACCGCACCTCGATTGCCGCGGGGCGTCCCGGCATTTTTGGTCTTCGTGCCAGGCATGGCGATTTCAGCGCAGGGAGGAAGATCGTTCAGCGAATATGGGGGCAGCACTGGGGGCAGCAAGCACCAGCTGATGTTCGACTGTGCTGGACTGTGCGAGCGTAGCTTGTTGGAGAATGAACGAATGCCGTGGATGCGCAGCTACCAGCCCATGGATGTTCCACATATGAATTATCCAGCACTTGGTGGTCAGCCACACTCTGGTCGTCACAGCAGACCCACCCAAAAAATCAAAAAAAAACACAAATATATATGGGAGTTGATCTAAATTCCCTTATCCGGGATCCGTCATTTTCGCCAAAAAAAGGTTTACTTTAGCCAAACTTTCGCCTTCCTGCGTTTTATCTTTCGCCGAAGTATGTTGTATTTATGTGTGCCATGTATGTTGTGTTTTGTTCACGTCAATGGTTTCTTCTTTACTGGCAAACACAAAATAGAAACTTCACTGTTTGTCAGCATGTGTCTTCTACTTAACTGTTGACACCGTGTACGTCTCTTTTGTTTCTCCTGGGTGTCAGCAAGAATCAAAATTGCAAGAATCACTGTAGTAGCCGG